CTCTTAGACCAATATATCTCCTATTTTGTTTCTGCCATCTGGTAAATAAAGAACATTCCTCAACTGCTGGGAATCAGGTAGGCAGGTGAGTCCTTACTGAGCATGTGTTTACTGACAGCATGTTAAATTTGGAGCCCTGTGCTGACAGGTACCAACCCAACAGATGATCTGGCACTTGCCTTAGTCCACTAGCTCTCAGCGGGTGACTTTAATTCCCCCTTTCCATCAGGGATATCTGGGGATGTCTAGAGATTTGGAGTCTGTCATAACTAGGAGGGTGCTACTGAAATCTAGTGGGTAAAGGCCAGGGACACTACCAAACAGCCTACAATGCACAGGACAGCCCCCACAACCAAGAACTATCTAGCCCATCTGGACCAAAATGTCAGTAGTGCCGAGGATGGGAAAAGCTGCCCTAGAGCGGCTTACAGACAGGGGGCTCATGGCTGGGGGCAAGGAATTTGGTGGATCTGGGTCAAAGGAGGCACCTAATTGTCCTGGTTATCATTGATGGGATTAAAGAAGACTAAAGGATTTATTTCTACAATCTCTCCTGGGTTCAAATGAAGAAATTCTGTGAGATGTATGTGGAGCACATAATCCTGGGGAGGTGTAAGCTCACCTCGAACTGTTTGGGAAGCATCTAACCTGACTTCCTATTACAAGGAAAGTTGTCTGACTTATGCTAGATCAGGCTGGGCAAGGAAGGACCCAGGACACACAAATTGATCTGACTGAAAGACAGCACACCACAAATGGAATTCCAGGACTTAACTAAAAGACAAGCTGGGCTACAGTAACAGAAGCAATCCAGAATTAATGTTTTTAAATTAAGAGCTGCCTGCAAAGAGTAGAGATACAAATAATGACTTATTAACGACCATTAAGCCTTTACGTGCATATGAGAAGCACTTGTATCCTAAGTTCTTACCAACTGCTCCCTTTTTACAGATGAAGAAACTGAGGCTCAGAAAGAAGTGCTTCCTGAGAGTCACATTAAGAGGCAGTGGTAGAGCTGGGATTTAAATCTGGACTCTGCCCCCAAGAAAATTGTTATTTTTTGACCACATTGCCTCATAATTAGACTCTATGGCTCTTGACAGCCTGTGTTTTTGTTTGGCATTGGTGCAAGACAGAAGATAAGAAAAGGAAGAAAAAAGTTAAAATGAGCCATACTTTACCCAAAACAAAAAATATTAAGTCAAAGTATTTAAAATAATATAAGGACACTTCCCAATGAGAAGCGAGAAAATGGGTTCTCTGGAAGTATGTTTTGAATTTATTGTGAAAACATCCTGCAAAAGTACCTATCAGAATCAAGAGGAGGTACATGCCCTGGAAATCTTTTAGAGAATGAAATACAGATGACATTGAGAATAACAACATATATTTGCAACAGCAACACGCAGATGTAATGTCTCTGTAAGTGGGAATCTGAGTAAGTCAAGCAAATTCACTGCACAGGCTCACAACGCACCTGTGGGCAGGGATGCTCTACATGCATGGATAACCTCACGCAGTGCATGTGTGGACGGTCTCAGGTTGCAGACTTTATATAACTCCTCAACATATTAAGCAGAAGCCTTTCTAACTATGCTAAGTTATTTCCATAAAACGTATGAAAAAAACCTTTTATACCTAGAAATTCATGAAAACTTGTCAACTACTTTTATGCCTCAAAAGATCTGAAAAATCTGCCGTATGTTAAAACAGAGTTTCCTTTTTCTTACGGTCTCAAGGTAAAATGGAAGAGAAAAACAGTCATCACAACAGCAATAATAGCTAGTACACTGAGGGTTAGGATGTGCCAGGCACTTTGCTAAGTTCTTTACCTGCATTATCTCACTTAGGCCTCCACAACTTTAGGAGGTAGACACCATTATCTCCATTTTACAGAAAGGGAAACTGAGGCTTAGGAGAGTCAAGTGCACACAGATGGTAAGTTGCATAGTTGGGAGGGGTGTGTGTGGGGTTAACCACTAATCATACAACAAATAGTTTAAACTTACAAAGAACAATTTGCATTAATAAATATAAGGATAATTCCTGTTTCTCTTTCATTAAATTTGGGCCATCTGCTCCCACAACTGGTTTGTCAGCTAGGTTAAAATATAATGAACTGATTCATACAATAATCTGCTCACAATGTATGCAGAACTTCTCTTCAAGGAGCTTAAATCTGCAAACATACATGGGTCATAAAAATCACTCTCTTTATATGAGTTTAGAACTACTGCAATTTTGGAATGCTGGAATAAAAATAACTAAATATTATTTGGACAGGGAGGAGATACCCTTCTCTATGCACCACCTCATTTAAAAAGTTCTGTATAAAAAGAGAGAAATAGGTTCATTTAGGAGTGAACTACAAATACACAGTAAATGCAAATAAAACACACTGAGGTGGGAATACACTAGTGGAATATAACAGAATAAAAGAAGGTATTAAGTAAAGGCTGCCTCAGTGAAGGCTCTAAAGGGTTGGAGGTGTAGAGCATTTTGCAAGAATTTTCAAGTGGGTAGTGGCATGGCTAAAATGTCACTTGAGAAATACGATTATGGCTCAAGTGTGAGGGCAGAGGTAAATATGCCGCTGGATTACTACCGAGGCCACACAAAGGCAAGCGACTGTACAAAAGGCACAATATTACCGATTGGTAAGTGCAGGTCATCAAGATTCTCAGTAACTAAAAATCCTACTGACTGAAATCCAAGGAGCCAGAGAGGGAGGAGACACCAGATAAGCAGATGCACTTTCACGCAATCAGAATCAAAACACCCTGGTTTCTCTCAAGGGTCCATTTCTCAAGATAGAAGGGTTGGATTCATGGTATAATTTTGGATCTAAAAATAATACCAAACATGTTTTCACAAGAGAGACTGTCAGTGTCTGATAGTTCTAAGCTTGGAAGTGCTAATGGATATCCTTATGATGGGAAAATTTCAGGCAAAAATGAGTCATCTCCGCTGCCTTTAGATCCAGGAAGAACACTCTTTTTTCAGGGACTTTGTATAAGAACAAGTGGCACAAATTCAAGTGGCAATAAATCATCCAAATGCTCTTTCTACTTCCAACCCCCATGTTTCACTGCCTCCTGCCTAATTTACAGAAAAGGGGAGGGCGGGTAAGAGAATCAAGTGAGAAGGGCCAATAGCTACCTGTCTTGGCAATATGGAAGGTAAAACAAAGAAAAGCAAAACTTGCTGGTCAGTCTTATCCTAAACACACATCAATCACGTAAATAGGCTTTTAAACCTCTGTAATATTATAAGGCCCATTAATTCACTCCACTAACTGCAGCCTGATTTAATTAATTGTTTCCATTATTGGCATTAACTTCACTGAAAATACCAAAACGCTGAGTGAAAAAGCAAGTGTACCCCTGTTCTTTAGATAACTTCACCGTATACTGAACTGGTACGCTGCTTACCGTGGTCCAAGATATAAAATACATTGTTCCTCACGCTGCATTTTCTCCAGAGCTTTGTCAATTCCAATTGGAATGTCGTGGTCTTCTCCTTCGCCAACGATGAACCCTACATCTCTGCAATCAAACATCCTTCCTCCACAGCGGCCTTCCAGGTGGACTGAGGGAGAGGAGACAGGATGGTCAACAGAGCTGCTCATGACTAGATAATTTAGGGAAGTGATAAGTGAGGACTTCCCCTTATTTCATCTAGAGACATACGTGGTCTCACATGAAATCATATTTCTTTCTGTTTAAGTTTAAACTTATAATTACTGATAACGGTATCAATAAGATAGCTTAGTGGATAATAAAGTGGAAACATAGGTTTAATTTAAACATACTGTATGACAGAGGTTTCCTCACCTATAATACAAGATCAAGAGATACTAGGTTATTTAATAGGTAATTATCAAAATGCCACATATTTAATGTCAAACATATAAAGGCTTAAATATTTGTGACTATATCATAGCTTTAGATGCTTGGGTTGAAAACAGCTGAATGGCTGTGATATACAAAGGTTAACTGAATACAGAAGCTCTTTTTTTTTTTTTAAGAGTCTTAATCTCATTCACAAATATGTTTGCATAGAAATGGAAAACCCAAAGGCAGCATCATCAATAACTAACATAGCTATATCCCTTAGTGGAGTAATAAATGCAAAATGTGAAGGAATCAATAGTCTACTACAACTTTACAAATCAAATTACTCAACCACCTCCTCTGAAATGTTAAGTGAAGAGGTCAGTTTCTTGGGGCCTACTTCTTCCCCACTCCATTCAGACTCACTCAGCTCATTCCAGGGGTAATTTCATATTAGAGAAGGGGCTTTTATGTTTTTTTTTTTAAAGACAAAATAGGAAAAACACATATAGATATGTATTTTTTTCTTGACTGGCTAAGACTTTTTTTCTGGCATAAACAATTCTCTGAAACTTTCCAGCTACTTTTAATATTAAGGATAACCATTCCTTTCCATTTAGGTCTTTGACTCAGTATGAAAAATGAATGACTTGTATGACTGCGTGACAGTCAACAAGCAATATGATAATTTGTCTTTATTCCTACTTCTGTAATGTAATGGCCTTGATTTGAGTGTAACCATTTCCTAAAATGCTTCTTTTCTAAGACTGGTTGCTCTACTTTAGATCAATAACTTGCTTTAGAGAGACTGCAAATCACTTATTCTGTTACATTCATTCTATGAGACAATTATTCTCCAAATACAAATTCAATTCCAACTTACTTTACTTTTGAACTACTTGATCTCAAAGGTCCCCTAAAGCTCTAAAATTCTACAATTCTATGACCCAGTATCAGAACTCTTGACATAGGCCAGAAACCTGCTTCAAAACTAATTCCTGTAGTTAATCATTTGATCAGGTTACCTTTAGCCCAGGCCTGGGAAATGAGAGAAACCCTGAAGAGTAAACAGCAGTGGCACAGACACTAGGGGCCAAGATGTCACATAGACATTTATGCTTTGAAGTTCTCTCCCCTTTTCTAAATAACTTGGATTAATACCATACTGATTTGCTCCCATCATGGCCATAGGCTGGAGTCAAAGAAGCTTGGGCCAAACTCACGAAGGCCTGACTCTTGAGTCAGATGCTCTAAACAGGTGCAAGAGCTAGACTGGCTTTCAGGGTGGAGCTGGCATACAGAGATTTTGTTCTTTGCCCCATTCTCATATATGCAGATGACACTCTGTTATATTCACTTTTGGAATGTTCTAGATAAAATACAACTTAGCTTGCAATACAGTGAAAGTTCTTTTGAAATGGAAAATAGTTTCAAAATAAATTCCAATTTTATTATTTTCAAATATATACATTCTAGAGAGGGTCTGCAGGGAATCCAAGGCTTAAGATATTTTTACTACAGTAAGAGCTGATGTTTCTAAAGAATTTGAGAGTTCTGAAAAGTTTGTGTTCTTAAATATTTTAAAATCTACCCCCAAAGTTTAATTTAGACTAATGTGATGACACTTTTCATGAAAAGAGATTTCATTCAAAGTGAATTTCAGCCCACATATTGTGGAGTATATCAAGTATTGAAATTTATTATCTTAGTAGCTCACAATTTAGTTGACAGATCTTTTTGTGTGAGGTTTATTGTTAGAAGTACTTTCCTCCCTGAAGGAGAGCACATTTAGTGGGGGAGGAAACTATCAGTACATTCGTTGTGGTTTTTGGTTGATCAAGTCTCAATGTGTTTTCAAAACAGGAAATCCAGAGACTCTGCAAAGGATTCCTGCCTGTGTGTCAGTTTCCTAGGCAGGTTTTCAGCCTGATGCATGTACTTGATATTAAAATTATAAAAATAATCTCAGAAATTCTCTTTACATGTGATAACTCTTCATATTTGGGAAAGAAAAGATTGGCTGTTAATAAACATGCTAAGAAAGACAAGTGAAGCAAGCAAGCAAGCAAGCTTAAAACAAAAGCTCACTGCAGCTGGTCTTTGAGAGAGACAATAAATGACAGGCCCAATGTTTGTGGCCACCTATTAGGAAGGTAAAAATTTGCAATAACTTTTATAAATACTTACTACCTTATACAGGGACTAATCTTTTTTCCAATAAAATGTCTTTTAAGTTGACCCTGAACAAGCACTACCCACAGTACCACAAACTCTTAAATTGATAAAATAATATGCATGCACACACACACATCTATATGTGTATATATAAAACCATCACCTTTTAATTATGACATTATCTGCAATGTCAGAGTAAGAGGAGGTATCATAGCCTCAGGGAGAATAGAGCCCATGGATTCTTTACATCTACAAGTAGCAAAGGCTATCACTCAGTTAACTGGTTTCTAAACTTGGAACACTGGTGTGACAAGTTCTACAGGACTGCTGACAAGAACTCACACACCACCTTGGAGCCACAGAAATGCTTGCCTATTGCCACAGCAGGGCCCCCATCATGGTGATAGATGCAGACACACCTAGTTCCTACAGATTCAGGTTTTTTTTTTTTTAAAGGTCTCAACAATTGCTACCAAAGAAAACTGTAGCAGCCCTGGCTGTGGAAGACCTGTGGTTGCTTTTGACCTTGTATCTCTTAGTGCAAATACTCACTTAATAAATATTTAATAATAACCATCATGACTCACTGGGAGCTCGGCCTCCAGGGCTCAGGAGGTCTGTTGCTAATTCCAACCAGCATGATTTACGGGAAGTAAATGATCTATGACGTGCCCAAAGAGAATAAAAGTACATACAGGATGCTTCTACTTAGGGCTTTTTTGGGAGAGAAAGAAATATGCAAGTTAAAAAGGGACAACATTTTCTTTTGAGTTAAAGTCTACGTAACTTAAAGAGGGGAGGTTCTCCAAACCCCACGAAGTCAAACCAAACCAAATTACCCGAGCTTTGCTGCGCAATCCGAGTGTAACCACATCAAGTGAGCCCAGTCTGCTGCAAAACATCACTTAAACTGGAGCTCTGACTTATTGTTCTCTTACTGCCCTAGAGCAATTTTGTTTTGAAGAGCACAGAACACCCTGTTCTGAATGTGGCTGGCACATGAACTCGATGTGCTGACAGCAATTTGTACTCCGATTAAAATGGGGGGAAAAGGAAAGAGAGTGCACTGCAGTAAGGGAAAAAAAAAACTGGAATTCAAGAAACCAAAAGCTGTATAATTTGTATTTTAGGAAGCAAAACTGAGAGAGGTTCCATAACCTTAAAAAAAAAAGTGCTGTAAATGCTCCAGCCTAAAAGACATTAGCTCTGATAAGTGTTTTTCCCTTTTCTAATTATAGTAGTTGGTGTCTGATAGCTTTGCACTCATTCCTGAAACAATTACTAGGTCATGGGGATCTGAATGGGAATGTTGTAATGGCATTACTACTACACAAGATGGGTCATTTAGCCAGAGAAAACCAGGTTGTGACAGGTTACTCCCACTCGGCAAGGGTTTTCTCTGCTGCCTAATTCATGCCAAGTGAGTTTCTCTCTGCCTGCCTAACAAAGCAGGAGCATCCAAGAGACAGTGGGATCTTAACGACCCCCTGAAAAGGCAAATGGGGAAGCAGAGGCAGATTTCTAAAATCAGGAGGGGCATATTAATCACTGATTAGAAGAGAAACTCCTCATCAGGCATGATGCTTAATTTCCCCAAAACTGCCTCCTGTCCTCCTCTGCACCATTCTGTACTCTTCGAGATGAACAAATACCTAAGACTGCTTATGGCACTGAGGGACAGATGCTGACTGAGAGCAGGCATGGAACCTGGCTCCTTGAAGAGAATAACATTTATGCAGACGATTACATCTTAGTTTACACAGGAAGCATACACACAGCAATAAATTCTACACCAACCCAAATCCTCACCACTCTTTACACCAGTATAGCGCTTTAGTTAGACCTGGATTCCAGGCCCATTCTGCCACTTAACTATTGTGGCTTTGGGCAAGGCCATTTAAATTATCTGAAGCTCAGTTTCTACATCTCTACAATAGGGGAAATAACATTAGCTACCTCATAACCATTGAGAGGATTAGATTAAGTACTGAATTAAAGCTTTTAGCCCAATAGCTGGCATGCATTCATTTATGCGTCAGAGCAGCGACTATATGAAAATACTGTCACGTGTGGATATAGAGATGGACCCAATGAATGTTAGCTATGATTATTTTCCTGCAATTAGTGGTAAATTATACCAGATCAACCATGTTTTAGAACGTGGTATAAGAAACTACTTAAAGTCTCCACAGAAAGAGGTGTCAAAGTATGAACAAAATTCAAAGTGGGCAGAGGCAGTATCTTCTTTTGGATCTCACAGGGCCCAAACACACAGTTCAGGGCCAGAAAGTAAATATTTATTTAATGATTAATTTGAAAATAGGACATTAAGGAAAACTGCAGTAATTTTCACTCATTTATAGGAATTTTCCTTTTTGAATATATTAGCATTTCTTTTCTTTTTTGGCCTGATAATGTTTTCACTTATGAAATTTAAAAAATTTATACCATTTTAAAGGTTATTTTCCATTTATAGTTATTACAAAATAATGTAATTGGCTCTATTCCCCGTGCTGTACAATATACCTTCAAGACAATCTTATACCCAACAGTGTGTACCTCCCACTCCTCCACCCCTAC